GCCTGCAAATACCACTGTTCCAATCACAGCCAACCTGCGCTCACTCGTTGATTCATTTGATCGCGATGCATCATCCTCACTGCAAGAGTTGCCTCGTTGCTTCCTGTACCAGTCATAGCGGATGAAATCTGCCAGTTTCTTAACTAATTCAGACTCGAATGAATCCACATCCTGGTGAACATCACGGTAGCCATATCGAACAATGCACCGGTACGACCGATGCGTGGCTGGGCCAACTCGTCCTACGAGATACCGCTCAGCCGGAGGTACAAAAGGAACCGGTACCGACTTTATACACACAAAGACGATGATGCGATGGAATGCTGGGAGGTTGGTGACGAAGCGGGAGAAGTTGGCAGGGATGCCAGAGGTGAGATCAGTAAAAACTAAACCAATGCCGGGGACACGGGCGATCCCAAGGCTCGGCCCCAATGCTAGCAACCACTCTAATGAAACCTTGTTGTGAAGATCAAATTCATACTTCTTAATGGTTGCATAGTGCCAAACAAACATGATGGTCATGAGGAAGAGAGCTAGGAGAATTGGGAGCCAAGCACCTTCCCTGAACTTGGTTAGTGAAGCTGAGAAGTAGAGCAATTCAACAGACCCAAAGAAGACCAAAAAGGAGAGCGCAAAAAGAGGAGATTTGTTCCAACAGAGGACAATCACCAAAGAAGTAAGGCAGGTTGTCACAAGCATCACAGTCATAACAGCTAGACCTGCAAAGTAAAATGAAGTGGGCAACTATTATCAGTACTTCTTTATAGGGCAGAGGACTCCGGGCAATAATTACTACGTCGGTATAAGAATGGAAATTTTGCAAATAAGATTGTCGAGAATGGGATGTTTGTTTTCGAGTTGCACAGAAAAGAGGTTTCAGAAGTCTGGAAATGGAGATGAATGACGTATTTTAAAAGCCAGACTTCTGTCTTGAACATTCAAGATTGCGACCAACTCACCTGATGCATTTCCAAGGTGTTTTATGTCTCTGAATCCAATGGTCACGGCAACGCAGAGAATCATTAGTACCCAATTGATCTCTGGGATGTAGATCTGGCCATGGATCTTATCAGAGGTGTGAACAACCTTCACTCTAGGAAAGCACCCAAGGGACTGGCTCTGATTAATAATGGAGAATGTTCCACTGATGATCGCTTGGCTTCCCACAACCGAAGCAAGTATAGCGATCGTAAGCACCGGCCATCTCACACTCTCTGTTACCAAAAACCACTGATATAAGATTAGAAATAGCTTGCAATGAATCAAAACAGTCGAAGAATGTCACACAAAACAGCATGCTGTGTTAGTGAATCGAAATCTATACATCTCGAGCAACCCAAGAATTTTATCTGTGATTGGTACCTGGAACAGAAACATAGAAGCCAATGTTGTTGGTGGTATTATGATGTTGTGATAAGTAAGCAGCTTGGCCCATGTATGCCAATATAAGCGCTGGATACACCAGAAAGGTGAAAGCAATCTGAAGGGAGGCAGGGGGGGATTATCAGTTCATTTGTACATGGCAAGGATCTTCTTCATGTTATTGAATAAACAGAAAGGGGAAGCTACAACTTAAAGGGACTGAAAGATGAATCACCTGTATTGCAGTGTATGAGAAGTGGCCAAGATCAGCAAACATTGCTTCTGAGCCTGAAATTCAGTCAAATAGTCAATAAGCCACACATTATAGTTTTCCTGAACAACTCCCCTAAAGAATGAAGAACAGAATCAACCTCAAGATTCAATTTTCATATATGACTACTTGAGAAGGTTTCGTTACGAAAAACCAACTTCTATGATGTTTCATAGCTATTGATTTGTAACAGACTCAAAATGGATTAGTTCCTAAATAAATTTCGGATATTGTAAATGAGAGAAGGAAAGGAAAAGAAGAAACCTACAAAAGATGCATAAGCATGCTATGTTTCAGTTTTACCTGTTATGCACAACAATATACCGCCCAACGACATCCAACCACTCTTCCTCGTCTTCTCCAGAAACTTGAACATGTAATACGGAGAAAGAGCCTGATAAACATGTGGATTCCAGCGTATAATATTGTATATGCCAAGAGTACTGATGCAGAGTAACCATGTCAATACAACAGGAGCAAAGACGAAGCCGACTCGATGTGTGCCGTAGTGTTGAAGTGCAAATAGACAAACCAGGATAAAGCAAGTGATCGGAACCACGGCATCTGCACAGAGAGTTTTCTGGGGTTAGCTATAGGAACACGATGTTAAAACGTGTAGATAAGAGGTCAGTAAAATTAGTTTACACTAAAAGCACTCAGAAAAAAGTGAAGAACCAAACTAGATTTGTCAAGTTTAGTTAATCAATATATATGCATAGTTTAAAATATAAATTCTTTTAGTTAGAAGATTTATATTCTGGAAGGACACCTTTGGAAAAGGAGAAGGAAAGAAAATAATGAGCTTGCAAAGATTAAACAATATAAGGTAGTGATAAGTCAAACCCATCATCAAAATTTTAAATCCAAATTATTTGTCAATTATGAAGTATAATATCAAGAAAGTAGAGTTTATGTAATCTGAAGTTGAATTATGCAAAAAAATGAATAATAATAACTTGGGTTTGCACAACCGATCTCAAAACGAGTTTCATAAGTCTGGATCTCTGTAACCCATTACTTGAAGACTTAACTACATGACTAAGTTTTTTTGTGTATAAAATTAGATCGCAAAGATCGTATGATACGATATTAGAGATAATGGACCCTTCAAATTTCTAAAATGATATAATATTTTCCTTTTTTAACATAAGCCTTTATGATTTTGTTTTTAGTTTCACCCAAATGCCTCATATCAATAGAAATGTTGTCTATCACTTATATATCTATAATTTTCCCCTTATCTAGCCAATGTGAGAAGCATTCCTAACGATCTTTCTTTCGGATAAAGTACCGCTGAGTCCCTCCATAAATAATCATTCTTCATCCGTCCAACTCCTATTCAGGTCAACTTTTATTCTCCAAAGCACATTGCACGTTCAATAGAACTACCATGGATTATACCATGACTACATCTACTGAGGCTTGTCACTTCTTTTTTGACACTCAAAGATTTTACCAACACAACTAATTCAAGGAAATGTCTCTAACACCAAGGACAACTGATCTCCCCACATTTCTTAAATGGTATGATATCTACTTTTGCATAAGCTCTCGCTGGTATCTTTGCTTTAAGTTTTTAACCAATTGGTGCGCAGTTTTTAACCAAAAGGCTTCGCACCAAAGAAGATGTCATCTTTCACCTATGTACCCATAGTCCTCCCCTTATCTAACCAATCTCTAGAACTTTTGTCACGTTACCAAAATACACTAACTTAATTCGTGAATCAAACAAACTCTGAAGTTACCGATTTATATTAATTTGAACAAATAAACAGGTTTCCCAGTACGCATTTAAGTAAACTTTAAAAAGAAATAGATAGAAAATAAAAATTTTAACTACAACATGATCATGAAAGGATGTGACCAATGAACACGGCAAGTTGACAGACTTGTGGGTCCCTCTCTTGCACTACAGGCCAAAAAACTACACTTCTCCAATCTTATCAAAATTACAAAGTGGAACACCATCTGTCTTATCATCGTCAGTTTGGAAAAAGAAAAGTTTTAATGGATACTCATTTACATAATTTAATTTGCATTGCTTCTCCTAAACTTGCTCTCCATTAATGCTCAGACAAAAATTTCAGAAAGAATCTCCCAAATTTGATGATACAAATATCAGACAATTTCAAATCTCAATTTCCCTTTTAGGCTCTGTTATTTAAACAACTTCTTTTTTCTCATTTATTTTCATTTTTGGAGAAAGGGTCTGTTAACTAAACAACTTGTCTTGACTACCCTCAGTAATATAAAACAATAATTAATTATATTTTTAATCCCTATGTTTTTGGTTAAATCTCAGTTTAGTAATTATACTTTTAAAATTTTTACTTTTGTTCCTATTTTTCTAATTAAAAGCTGATAATAAACTATTTGGGGTCGCAAATAATAGTCCTAGACCTATTCTAATTTAAAATTAGAATATTGTTTTAAAATTGAATCTAAATTCATATTTTTCAACTACTTTCCAAACTTCTATATCACTAAAATAAAATGTCCCATCCTAGAATTTATTTGTCAAATTATAGTTAATGAATATGGAGAAAAATTGTAGTTCAACCTAAAGAAACTTAATAGAAATGTATAGAAGTGAAGTGCTTACACTGATGGTGAGCTTTGGTCATGGATAACTCAAGGCCAGAAACTGCTGAGAAAACTGCACCCAAAAAACAGGATCAAATCAATAAGTTCCTGAAGAGGCAAAAGAAAAATTGGAGGGGAAAAAGGGTTAATTTACTAATTTGATCCTCATCCGGCAGATTTTCAACTTATTCCCTGAAATTTTAAAAATTTTAAAAATTTTAATTTGGTCTCTATGAATTAGCCAAGACTCTAGGAGAAGTGAGTGGATTTCCAAATACAATTTTAAGGACAATGGGTAAGATTTAATCAAATTATAGTAACCAATTGAAATTTTATGAATCATAGGAATCAAATTGAAACTTATAAACTCTGGACCAAATCGAGACTAAGCATAAATCATACTTAACCAAATTTGTAATTTAACAAAAAGAAAGAGATACCCAGATGGAAGAAGAAGAAGAAGAAGAAGTGTACCAGAAATGGCAGGAGTAAGCAGCCCATCTCCAATGACCATACAAGTCCCAAGAAGAACCAGAATCAACAAGGCAGTGTGCAGAGCCCTGTGCTTCTCGAGCAGCAATTTAACCCTCGATTGCTTCTTCTTCTCCGGCGGATGTTCCAGCAAGTAAGTGGACAGAGCTTCGTCTGCAACTTGCCTGTTCGGTAGAAGGCTTACTTTGGCATGTCTGCAAATTAACGAGTACAGAGCAAAAGTCCCACCTACAATGACAATTTCGAACGAATTTAGAAACTGGGTTTTGAAACTTTCTCGATTCTAAGCATATACTTCTTCTTCTTCTTCTTACCTTCACCATTGTCATCAGCTCTAAGGACCACGAAGACGTATTTGAAAAGGGGGACTATAGTGAGAGTCCAGAAGACGAAGGAAAGAACCCCATAGATTTCTTCGTTGGTTTCCGAATGCTGGATGTCTTCGGCGAAAGTGCTTCTGTAGACGTAGAGGGGGGAGATGCTCAAATCGCCATAGACGACGCCGAGGCTTTGATATGCCAAGATTAGAACCGTTTTCCAAGAATCCTTCTGAAGGAAACCCAAATTTCCGGCCGATTCAGTAACTGGGTGTTTTTTGAAAATGTAGAGAAAGAAAAACGGTAGAAGCTGAAGCTCGGAATTGAATGAACACAAACCTTGGAAGTATCCCAACACTTCCCGTGCTCAAGATCCATGGCTTCTCTGTCTCAATCTTCAAGCCAAATCCTGATTTGGGGATCAATTAGTTGTAGATCTAAATGAAACTCGGAGAAAAAAACAAAAAACAAAAAAAGAAGAAAGAAGAGAGGAAGAAGGAGCTTACAGAAAACCCCATTTGCATCAGCTCTGCTGCAAATGGAGGCGATAAGAGAAGTAAGTCATCAGTTATCACTCACTTCTCAGTAAACCCACATGAAATCTCCATAAAAAAAAAAAACGGGAAATAAGAGATTTGTTAGGCAGAAAATTCAGTTACAACAGACGAAGCGTCCACGAAGACGGCTGATTGATGGACAGTGGAGGAGTGGAGGTGGACCATTTTCTCTTTGCCTTTCTAACTCTCTCTCTCTCTTCCCTTCTCTATCCCCTCTCTTTTTTTTAGGTGAAAATTTTGGGAAAGATTTGAATCATGTCTTAAAATGTTATCTTGGTCCCTCTATTACTAATTTTGATACATTTTAACTATAGTCTCTGCATTTCGTAAGGATGAAAATGAATATTTTAAAAATATACAGATCATAATAAACTGAAGCTACATTAATCAAAATAGTTTTTTAATATTTTAATATTTTTTTATGTTGGGATTTGAATTCATGATCTATTGATCAGACACGTGTGTCAACCACTACTAAGCTAAACTTACGTTGTCAGTTTTAATAATTTTTTTTTCTTAATAAGTTATGCATATCCACTAAGTTACGTTTGAATTGATTTTTCTTCTCTCTTTATACGGACTCTAGAGAAGAAAATTAAGAGTCTCGTAGTTGAATTAAGTGTCAACCACTACTAAGCTAAACTTACGTTGTCAGTTTTAATAATTTTTTTTTCTTAATAAGTTATGCATATCCACTAAGTTACGTTTGAATTGATTTTTCTTCTCTCTTTATACGGACTCTAGAGAAGAAAATTAAGAGTCTCGTAGTTGAATTAAGTCATGATTGAACTCCGTTAGTTAATTAAAATAATTTTTATCGATTTATATGTTTTCTCATAATTATTTTTTGAAAAAATTAGTAATACTATAATACATACTCTCCTCATTTATATTTGACAAATCATCTAGAGACTTATTTTTTATTTCATTGACCTCGTACCAATCTTGGATACTATAAATTTTTGCGTACATAGAACACATATTACCATCCAACTAAAAGTCATGAATTATAACTCGAGTCTCATTTAATAAACAAAATAATTTACATCAATTATATGATATTTTTTTCTTGAGATTTAAAACTTGATTAAGATCACCTACCAATGTAAAGATGGTGCAAGATTTGGTTAATAAGCTAATCAAAACGGGTGAAACTTAAATTATACGTGTTGGTTGGGGTCACATGAAAGGGATTGAAAGGAAATTGGTGGTTAATCTAGGGAATTATGGTTGTTGATTTGATGATGAAGAAGAATTTTGATTATGATTTTTTTAGAAA